AAAAAAAAAAAAAAAAGGATTTGAAGACAACAAACTAGAGCTGATAGAACAAGTAAGATGATCGATACTGTACCCGTATCATCAAATGACCGTTTAAATATCCACACTGTCCAGAGTAACTGAAGAAATCCAATCACACAGGCCCATCCGATACGATCTGCATGTGAGATATTAAAAGAAGAATATCCCCCGTCAGTGTTTCTGTAAAGTTACATCACAGATATAAAAATTTACTTAGTTTTAACACAGTTTTCAAGATGTAATTGTCATGTTTGGTTTGTTTTTCCAGACCTTATTTTAATATTATTTCTGTTCTATGGATTTTGTTTCCGTCCTGTGTCTGAGTTTATCTCCATAGTTACTGATTAAGTTCATCACCTGTGTCTTGTTTAGTTGCTCATTATCTTATTATCCTTGTGTATTTACAGCCCTTTGTCTGTTCAGCTCTGTATCTATTCTCGTCTGTGTATGGTTTGGTTTGTGGTTCTCCTGTGGTGCTTTTTGTTTTGTTCTGTTTAGTTATTAAAGACTGTGTATTCAGCCTCCACCAACCCATGACAATGATGAGCTGTACTAAAATCTTTCAATTCTTAATATATTTAAAAACATAATCACACCTTTCTCATTTTCCAGAGCTATGATGTAGACAGAGACCATAACAGCATTCATCAATAACATCAACATTAACCACACTGATCTCCTGACCAGAGGTGAACCTGAAAAAATATGAGTAATAAACACGTTTAAACCAAGCACATAATAAACATGTGTTCATTTATTATTTCATATGATGAGAAATTGTTTGTATCTGGGTTTAATACAGACTGAACTAAAAGGCCAAAAATGTGATCATCAGTAAGAGAGAAATCACTAAAGAACTGGATGATTTATTTCTTATGAATATTAAAATATTCCTCATCTCATTCAACATTATCTAACACTCAAATCCAAGACTATAGTCATAGAGATAGTGAACGTCATAAGTTCATCAAGATTGTAGTGCCATTTATGGATTATATATTGATCGTGTTATAATGTATTGATTGATTTATGTATTTATAACAGTGATCACAGTCACTTACAGCCCATCTTTTCCCCACATGTAATGTCCCAATTATAATTTGTCACTGTTGTCAGCACCGGTATAACTGCAACAATGAAGAATCCTAGAAACAGGAGAGTAATTATGATAACGTAGATACTGTGCATCACTGCCAGACACACAGCTGATTAGATGAAAAGCATCAACATATGAAGATCATTCTTAGTTCATCATGTTCATGATGAAGTTCAACTTCATCATGTTAATGTAATTTACTAATTGAAGACATAAAGATGTCAGTCATCATAGAGTGCTAAATACACAGACAGTTCAGGTAAGAATGAGACTAGCAACCTCAATCTATACCTGAACTATCACACTAAAACTTTCAGGACTCGCACCTGCATTTTGAAGCTCAATGAAATGGACATATAAGCCCATCAACTGAACGTGTTAGATCCCACGCTTCTTTCAGCAGAGCGTCTCACACCAGTTTTATAGCCTGAACGCTACAAAAGAAATGCTGCGCTTTGTGTGCTCTAGTCTACACTAAAAAATAAATAAATAAATAAATCAAAGCCACTGTTGAATAATTAAGGTTTGACTGATGAACTCCTTCCTCAATTGGACATAAATTGTGACTGTTTCTGGAGTTATGGAAGTCACCATTTTTTATATTTTCATCACTGTCACAAGAATAGAACAGGCCTAGGGAATTGACTTTGGTTCCTTCATGTCAGGTGTTGCATGAGCAGGACATTTCGATAGTCACACCTGTTAGTAAATCCAGTTATCAGTCCCGAACAGAGATTGTGTGAACGCAGCCAAATTATAAAATATAACCAGTTTGAATCTGGAGACAATTCTTTGTGTCACGATGAACTTGGAGGGAAAGCAAAATCCACATCTCACTTTGTGCTCCCTGTATTTTTCCCATGTATCATCACATTTCTGCCCTTGTTTTAAAATGTCAGCTGGAAAGATGTGAATTGCAGGGGTTTTTATCTTGCGAAACGCAGAATGCAGTAGTTATTGGTGATGCTGACTTGCTCATTTGATTAGACTCCACCTATGACATGTTATTTCCTCCTCTTCCGTAATCATTTTCTTCTGTCTCATTGGCATTTTAGCTTGCGTTATATGTTCTGATTGAAAGAGAACCTGATTTAAAGTTATTGCATACTTAAAATTACATTAATAAAGAGTTGAATAGAGTGCTTGTTACAAGCGTGCACTCAATTCAAAACCAGAACCGTTTTACTCGAATACTGTATTCTTCCATTATTCCTCATAAATGAATCCACATAGTTTATAAAGCTGAACTCACCTCCACTGGAAGATCCAAATGCGTAAAACAGGAGGATGAATTGAAATGAAGGCAGAATATAAAAGCTTTTACCAGCCAGAACCACAAATATAGCACTTATCCGTTCACCGAGCTTTCCAATGATTGTAACCAATTCTATAACATGAAGAATACATAAATGAATAAATAAACAAACAAGTATTCCTTTTCAGTTAATTTATACCCCCAAAGGGGAGACGTATCGCCTGAAATACAAACATTTACAGACAGATTATGAAAAATGTAAAAATTCAATTAATACAATTTAAACACAAATGTAATAAGCTAACGCTTAACAACAACTTTTTAAACATGTAAGTCCCCTACAAATATTAAATGAAATATAATTTATCTGAAGGTGATTTTCACACGAACACTCGGCCTGCTGTGTCCAGTAGGCTTGCTGTCGCTTGTCCAGGATTAAGATGTACATCTCCTGAGAGTAAAGAATATATATCCAGACAACATCCAGCAGACCTCGTCCTGTTTAGCATTCTTTATTTTTTGCCAATTTATGCTTCGGTTCGGGTGATCAACGGCAGCGGCTATTTGCACTAAGTGAAAATATCAATATTTTATTAGCGATATGCTATTTACACTAAGTGCAAATAACGATAGATCCTTACACTATGTAAAAAGAGCAGCAATTTCTTTGGAAAAGGTGTGAAAAGTAGATGATGTTTATACATAGTGGAGAAAATTGCAGATATTACTACTCAGTATTGATGTACATTATAAAACAGTATTCAGCAATAACATATTGAGTGTAAACATCACATTTCTTAAAGTTACTAAATGTATGTAGCCTTATATTGAGACAATAACGCCCTCCCTACACCTACCCCTAAACCTACCCGATCAACACTTTATTATTAAATACACGCCAGGCCCTTCATTTCCATTTTTTTAAATATATAATGCATTTTTATTGAAAATAAATGTCTTTCTGATCTCATATGTGACGGGAAAAGAGAGAATAATGAATTCGGCAAAAGGTGGATTCGAACTCGGGTCGATCGCGTCAAAAGATGTCGCCATATGGTTTCCGCCATATATACACCACTGTGCCTTATTATAACGCATTGGTGGGCGGAGCTAATGTACAGCCTCTGCCAACAAGGTGGGCCCTTTGCACTTAATGGCAGCTCCTCTATGAATCAATAGAGTATTATAGATGACAAAATGTAGAATACGTCTTTGATACAGGGTTCCCTTTTCCAGACTCAAATTTCCAGACTTCACTGTAGACCATTCAGACCACATTTCATAACGAAAAACAAATGGTTAAGGAAATAATTTGAATAATCTAGTTGTAAACATCTACATAAAACAATGTTTTGAAAGGTGACCTTAGACAAAATAAAGAAAACCATTATTCAAAGAAACACACAGCTGTCAAAGACACCTATTAAATAAATAAGGATAACAAAGGAGAAGTACAAAAAATCTCGAAACATTGTAAAAATACTGGTAGCTCTTCTCCTTTAAAGTGAATTTGCCGGTTGGCAACAGATCCACAACGAAGCGACTTTAGAGATTTATGTGGGATTAACGTCTCAGGTTACTTATGTAACCATGGTTCCCTGAGTAGGGAACGGGACACTGCGTCCTCTAGGGGTCGCTATGGGGAACGCCTCGTCGTGACCCGTGTCTGAAGCATACATTGAAAAAACACCAACTCGTTGGCCGGCGACAGCCATGAGACCAGTGCCTCTATAGCCTACAGATTAAGAAAAATATGTCTTCATAATGCAATATATCTGAAAAGAGTGAAAAATTAAAGATTGTAAAGTGAATAGTCTTCCGTATGTTTACTGAACCCACCCAGCAAAAACTCGACAATGCCAGACGTCTAAACAACATTAAAATTTGGTTGAAAAGTGAAAGGTGAAAAGACGTCTATAAAAAGAAGTCCAAGTTACGTCTAAATGTGGTTGTAAAGTTAAAGTTGAAAATACGTCTTTTCATGACTGATTAGCTACACCATGAATTAATTAATTATATTCATATTTCATATTCATAATTACTGTCAAAATAAGACAATTCACAAAAGAGTACCAAAACATTTTTTGACACATTAAATACATCTTTCACGTAAAAAAAACACTTTCCTGATCACATCTTAAGCCTGCATTTGATCAAACATACCGTAAAAAACAGTCATATTGTGAAATATAACTACACAAATAATTGTTTTCTATATGAATGCATTGTAAAATGTAATTTATCCCTGTGAACTGAATTTTCAGCATCATTACTCCAGTCTTCAGTGTCACATGATCATTCAGAAATCATTCTTATACAGGGTGTCTACAGATATGAACAATTACATTTAAGACTTTTTAAGACCTTTTTTAATACCACCTGACATTAAATTTAAGACCAAACCTCTGATTGAAATTCATTCATTCATTCATTCATTCATTCCTTTTATTTATAAAGCACTTTACAACTGCACCTGCAGACCAAAGTGCTGTACAATCAACATGCAGGTACATACAATACATAAAACACAAACAATCCAAATAAAACACAGATACTAGCCCAACTCCTTGGAAGCTAATGACAAGAAATAATTTTTAACCCCAGCTTAAAAAACATTTATGGATGTAATCTCTCTAATCACACATTATTTTACGTACATATAATGTAATATTTAATTTGTTAAATGTAAAAAGATATTTATATTGCTGTCAGAAATGCTATTTATTATTAAGATATACAGCAAACTTTTCATATCAGCAGACAATATCCCATACAAAATACGCATCACCGAGATTTCTGGTGGTGTAAAATTTATCCTGAGGCAATATTTTATCTGTGTTCTATTAGCTTTTACATTTATCTGCATATTTTTTATATTAACCTCAGGATGTTATTTACCTTTATAAAGGCCATTTTTTAAACCCTATTAAATGTATGCATCATATTTCATGTCAAACTCTTACAGTTGATCAATAGATTCAATTTACACTAAGGATCTATACCAAACAAATTAAATAATTTACATTGCACAATTACAACTGCAATAAATGATGTTATGAGATTAAGGTTTTAAATACAATTTTGAATATACAAATAAGAAATGTTGGGGGAGGAAATACATACTTTTAAACATACAAAACGCGCCAGTAGGTAAGTCACTTAATGAGTGAGTCATTGAGTCATTCAATTAACTGATTCGTTCAAAACGCTGAATCACTCAGTAACAAATCCCCGCTGCGTGCTTGGAGATTGTGCAATACTTCTGCTGTGATCTTTGTTTGGAAGTTGGAGCACCGGTAGTGACGTCATGGCTGTCGCCGGCCAACAAGTTGGTGTTTTTTCAATGTATGCTTCAGACACGGGTCAGGCGTTCCCCATAGCGACCCCTAGAGGACACAGTTCGAAGTTCCCATGAAAGGGAACCCATTTATTGTCACCATAAGATTTGCATGTGTGTGTGGCTTTCTACAAATAAAGATATAAGAAAATATATAAATACAAATAACAATAACAATTATAAGTAGTCACAATAGACATAATAACAGCAATCTCCATAATGAATATATTAAAATACAATGATTAATACAGTAAAATAGGAGAGAAAGTGCACCGAGAGAAATTCCCAATACTGAGCTGTAGAAATCTGACACCTCTCAGCACGGAGGACAGAGATTGAGCCGCTCTGTCTAGCGCATTAGTGCGCATGCGTCAAAGGAGTAACTCTTAGAAATGAGCGATGCATATTAAATATATATTAAATAAACCATATGATGATTAAATGGCACATAGATTATGTCTTCTAAACATAACGGTAATCTATGTGAGGAAACTAGTATGTAAACACACAGACATCTTTACACGCTAGTACTCGTCTAGTTGTCACTCGCATACAGGGCTGGACTGGGACAAAAAATCGGCCCTGGCATTTTTTGGTCCAGGCGGCCCACCACCACTTCGATATATATATATATATACTAGTCAAAAGTTTTTGAACAGTAAGAGTTTTAATGTTTTTTAAAGAATTCTCTTCTGCTCACCAAGCCTGCATTTATTTGATCCAAAATACAGCAAAAGCA